TAGTGTAGCTTGTCTTTTTAYGACGACTGCTTCTTCYGACGTTGGCAATCAGCAGTATTCAGCATGAACAACGACCCAGCAGATAAGGTAGCAAAGATCAGATCTGGTGCTGGTCTTTCTAGATTAACACAACAAAGAAGAGCTGAGCTGCCTCATCCTGGAAAGGGGGGGAGTAGAGGCTATCCTGTCTTTGTAAGAGAGCTGGARCTGCAAAGGAAGGAAGATGGTCTTCCTCCTGTTTTTGCAAGTAGATGGTCTATTTCAAGATGGAGTAGACGCCTTGATCCATACAGAATGACAGGCAACAGTGATCAAAGCAAGCTCATTGGACCAGACCAGATGCTTCTTGCTATTGSTTTGACTATCAATCCTTCTGCTAGTGCAGATGAGTATGCAACATTCATCTACAATCAGGGGGGGAGGATCTATTCTAGAGTAGATATCTCCAGGCGCTTGGATGGAATGAAGATCACTAGGAAGAGGGCGTCGACTGAAGYCTACCAAGCCTTCACCTTTASRAATAGAAGGAGATGTGAGTGGTTCTGGAATCTTCCTCCCCCCCTTGGCGTGGTGGGGATTCCTAGAAGGAAGTTTATAGACRTGGATGAGTTTGCTTTCAACCTTCAGAGGACAAACTGCAGGTATGGATGRGCTTTCATTCGCCAAAGAGTTAGGAAGATAGGACACTATGAGAGAACYGACAAGCTCACTGTCCTMTTTGCTGTGGAGCCAGGGGATCYRCGGCTTCCTCCAGAGACCAGGGGAAGTATCCAGAACCCAAGGAGGTGGATTGAGGTGATTAGAGCTGGAGGGACCTCAGCCTGGACCTTTGCTCAGTTCATTGATGAGATCTGCACTGATATTGAGCAGCATCCAGCCCCTGGGGACACGGATGCTGAAAGAGTGTTCCTTTGGGACAATCTTGGAGCCCATCTAACCAATGTAGTTGCTCAAACAGTTGAGGTGAGACCAGCTGGGGGAGTGACTGTTTTTAGTGCTGTCCCATGCCCTCCTTACCAACCAAAGTATGGTCCCATCGAGTACAAGATCTGTGATCTGATTGGGGCTGTAAGCAAGATGACAACGCCTGAATGGACCACGCGGATTTGGAGCATGCCATTTGAACTGAGGCGTTTAGGTCACTCACTCCCTTTGATTCAACCTTTGACCACTGTGGATATACTGTGGATGGGGTCTATGAACCTAGGACATATTAGAAAGCAGCAACAACAGCACCTCGATGATCTCCACCAGCAAGCAAGCTGGATTCGCTGAGTCGTTGCAATGGGCTGGAGCAATCCACTGGAGCGTGGCTTGCTGGCGTGGCGACTCATCCTGGGCCTGTGGAAACTGAATCACACTGGTCAAGCCTGGATTCCAGCAGTCACCTACTGGAGCAGCTTGCAGCTTTTTCCTTGGATGCTCAATCGATCMGGATGAATTGACTACATGGACTGAATACAGTTACAGTCAGTTGAATCGATTGCCTCCTATACTTAAGAGGAATGGATCCAACGCTTGATCCTCCCTCTATCTAMAGCAGTACTATTTGTATACAGTTTATCTTTAGTAAGAATCATAGCTACCAAGAGTAGTTGCAATAGACTTGAGCAATACCCMAAGGACCAGCRAGCTGCGCCTTTGAGCTGTCCTGGGCCTACAGTTTTAGAATATACTGCAACGCGTCTAGAATCTAGTCAGTTTACTAATTCGTCTCTATACTATTACAATAGTAGTACTAGTACCTCAACAAGGAGATACTACCTGGGCGGCTATCAACGGCAATCACAGGGATCACAACAGCACGCAACAGCTTCTCTGTTTGTACAAAGAGACAGTGAGGCATCCTAATGGTGGAGAAACAGGAGRAAAAGAACCACCAATAGAGGAATTGATGCGCTCAGCATTCTTTGAATTGATGCTTACAGTATTCAGTATTCAGCATCCATAGGAAAGACTAAACGAGCCAGCAGCAATCAATCAATCACTGTCTCCATAGTCGAATCCACCTGAGCTCTGGCTACTGGGCAATTCACTAGGACTGCTYGCCTTCTTGCTTGGAACAGCTGTCGCCTTCTTTGCAGCAGCAACAACAGGCTTGCTCAACGCAGAATGCTTGACAACACACTTCGTTGGCAACACGCTTGAGACCCAGGCCACGGCCTGCTGCTGCTGGGCGTTTCAAGCCAGCAGCAGTGCTTGCTGCTGCTGAGAGCAAATTCAAACCACCAGTGTTTSAAGCAGCAGGACGAGCAAAATACTGATAGGATCCAAGCTGGAGGACCYTCTGGTGCTGTAGGATCTCTTGGTGGATACTGTAGAAACCGGAATTGGAGCTGGAGGAGGCATCGCTGCTGCTGCTACTGCAACTGCAGGCTGAGGATGCGCAGCAGTACCACCACCAGCAGCGTTTGCAAGCTCAACCTCAAGGGGGGACCGAGTATCATCAGTCCTATCAGGAACAGGAGACAGCTTATTCCTAAAATGCCTAAGGTCCTGGTGGTTGAATGTAGGAGGTCCTCCAGCAGGAAGAGGGGCCCGCTGTGGAGGCCGGGCCTGCTGCTGATGCTGCTGGCAAGGCTGATGCTGCTGCGGAGGCTGGGCCTGCTGGCAAGGCTGCTGTTGCTGCTGCTGCAATCCCCTCGGATTAGGGACGCCAAATCCTCTTGCTCCTTCGACTGTTGGATCCCCTACAGTCCTTCCCTTCCTGAGAGCGTCRATGGACAGCCCATCCCTGGTCTCAGTCCCCATTGGACCCATTCCTTGCATGGCATGTCTCATTGCCATATTCCCCTGGATATCAGGATTGCTGAGCAATCTGTGTGCTGAAAAGGCAAAAGCATTTTGAGCAGCAACTGGATCATCCACAGCAGTATTTGCTTGAGCAGSTGCATCAAYCACACCATTCTGCAACTCGCCAGCAACATACTTGGTGAAGAGCTGAGGCAACRAGGACGCATTGGCTGCTACTGGCACAGCAGCAGCCTCCTTCCTTTCCMTGGCCTCACCAGCAGCTTTGTGCCTATTCCCCCTGAGGAACATAGCGTYGCACTTGCTATTWCAGATAGGACAAGAGCAAGCTGGCTTTCCATCYGCGTCTCSATGCAAGTAATCAGCCCCAGGCTTGCTGCATTCGGGACAGTTCCCTCCATCAGCTTGGTACTTGCAATGGAGCTTGTATGCCCAGCAACCAATCCACTGTCCTTCTGACGCTGGATACCTTGGTTTCTTCCCCCCATTMCTCTGGTATTCSTSCACSTCTTCCATGYACTTTTCCCAGTTCTCTTTGTTCTTTTGGTTCACTTCATCRATTGGTGTGATAGCAATGCAAGCCATACGTCCACACTGAGGGCAAGGAGCCTTCTCCAGCTTGGATGGGTCAAAGGGGATCTTGTCTTGCTTCCTGTTCCCATACTTTTGTTGCTTGATRCAAGAGCRCTTGTTCAGCTTTTCAATCTCCTCATCCTCCTGTTTGTCAACAGCTTGCTTGACATCCTTAGCAGCGGRCCAGAAGAGGGGAAGAGCGCACGTTGCATCATTGCTACTGCTCCTGGATCTGCTGGCTYGTTGGTGGATRCTTGGGGAAGCCTTCCTCATCTCCATTGCCACATAGATTGAAGCAAGGATGGAAGAAGCATAGTGARATCTCCAGGCCTTCTCCTGCTTGCTCTTTCCTAGACCGGCAGAGACAACATCAGCATGGAGGAGGCGCATCTCTTGTCTCAGTCCCTTGGCCTYGTTGCCAGGAAAGACAGATTCAACATCCCCTTCAGTGATTGACTGGATAGCCCAAAGATGCTGCTTCTTCTTCACCAGGGGAAGGAACTTCTTCCTCTCCAGAGCAGTATAGGCTGCTTGATAGAGTGGATTGGTTTGCGTGAGTGGAAGGCTGGGGACAGGGGTCCCTGAGGGTCTCTTGTTGTTGCTCATACTGCTGATTGCCGACRACGAAAAGAAGCAGTTGTCGTAAAAAAAAACAAGCAACACTGAACACTCAATAAAATCTGTTATACTTGCTTGTTTGCTACAGTTCAAGGCTTATTCAATCGACAAGAATTAAAGAGAGCTATCGATTGATACCACTTACATTAGAAAAGAGTGAGTGGAAGTGCTTGAAATGGAGCAATTCCCATGGTCGGTTGCTTTGAACCGTGTTTTTTTTATAGAATGAAAAGAACACTTTAGCGTGCTGGATCATCGTGCTGGATCAGCGTGCTGGAGGCAGGTAAAGGTCAAGACACTAGGCCACAGTACATTTTTGAACGCGTGATAAAAACCCTTCTATTTTGACCAAAATCTCAAGCCAACAACTACCTTGATTCACAATTTTCTACAGGATTTTCTACACAGCTTTGTACTAGGATCCATCCAAAACAGCTAATCTTGCTTCTTGCTTCCCCCCGCTGAGCAGCTGTTGGCCAGCAGCCAGCGTGACACGTTGCGGGGATAGTACTGATTCTACGTACGTCTACCTAGCATAGTTGGCAACTTGCGCTGAAAGTTGACAACTTTGATTCAAAGATGATAACTTTGTTTTAACGCTTTAAGTCTTAGCTCACGAGCACTTGCGCCCTGGGCAAGACAGTGTGCAATCGTTATGAAACTCGTACTAGTAACTACTAGTCACCAATGGTATTAATTTCTGTAAGGCTTTGTACGTCTCTGTATGGAATCAACAGCACGTGCTATGCTGCCTTTGCTTTTCCCTCCSACGGTACAAGTACCKTTACGTTCCTTACTTTCAACTGTTAAGGTCAAAAAAAAATGGGAAGGGAAGGCTTCTGAAGGGAAGCACGTGCTGCCGTTTCTCGTTGTGCCTACACAGCTACGAGTCTGTCCTTCGCTCCCACACTCACAAAATTTTGGCTTCAGTAACAWAATCAACTTGTCAGTTTTATCAGTTTTACTTGTACTGTTTTTCCATGTTTCTAGAACCGGCAGAGCTTGTAGATTGCTTCGCTGCGAGACGATCACAATAGTGGAATTGTGACAACTTACAAAACCATTCAGAATCGGCATGAAGAAAATCAAGCCGAAAACAGCTGCTCAGAAGCGTCGAGCCAAAGCGAAAGCTAAGGCCAAGGCAGAGGATCAGAAAAGAGGAAATTGGGTTGAAGATCGACTGGGTTGGGTTGAAGCTGCCGATTATCATTCAGCAAGCGAAGATACAGCTCAACATTTGGACGTGGACGATAGCGAAAACCACGACGATAGTGCTTCACTGATATCCCAAAGCGAAGTCAATAGTTTGAACGAAGAAGGTAGGAACGGGCACACCCGACACACCCGACACAAACGTCAGGATCTGTCAATTATAAGCTGGAACGTTCTTGCCGATTCTTACTGCAGTCGATCATCTCAGAAAAAACTACCTTCAAAGTTCCAAAGTCGTGTTTTCAATCGAAAGCAACGCCAACATCATGTCCGTCAAATACTACGCCTTTTTCATACGAAGCTGTCACCAGACCTAGTAGCTCTACAGGAAGTTGATCCTCCTTTAGAAGGTATGAATGTTAGGTTTATAAACATCAATCGGCACACTAGTAATTATTCGAAGCGATTGAAAGTTAATATCCTCATCATGTTCTTTTCGCACTCAAACTTTTTGTCGAACCATTGGATGCTTGGTAGTCGCTAAATGGATGAAGTCGCTAGGCTATGGTGTTGTGGAAACATATACCTCGCCTGATGGAAGAAATGGCCGCGTGGACTCCTGTGGACTTTATTTTCGAGAAGAGAGTTGGAAATGCTCAACTAACGTAACAATATTTTTGGATGACCTGGCTATTCTTCGATCTTCAACGTCGTCAGAGAACGAATCACAAGCGCAACTTCCTGAAGCTATTGCAAAAAAAAGGGGGAAGGGGGGAAGTAGTTCCAGCACGAATAGTGGAAGCTTGAAAGGACTCGAACGAAGTTTTGTAAGAAAGAACGTTGCTCTCTTGGCCAGCCTTGAGCATAAGAATACAGGGCGAAAGGTTGCTGTTGTTGTAGCCCATCTATTTTGGAATCCTGCCTATGAGTATGTAAAAGTACGTACACGTCGTTGTGCTGGATTTCTTCCACTCTGGTTTTAAAATTGATAAATTTCTAACACCTCTTCAGCTTTGCCAAGCGCATTATATAGCAAAGCGCGCCGATACTTTCTGCAAGGATAATGGAATCGATTGTCTAGTTTGGGCGGGTGACTTCAACTCGCAGCCCCAGGGAATTGTACATCAGTATCTTACAAAAGGTGTAGCAAATGCCAAGGAAGCGGCGCCATGGTACACTCTTTCAAATGTGAAGGACAGTCTTGATATGAATGCAAAACAGTTGCAGCGCATGAATATCTCAGACAATACAGTTGATAACAACATTGAATTAAATGGGAATTCGCCTCCGAATGTAAGGTATTTATTGGATTATACTCTGAACAGATTCTGTCGGTGGCTCCGAATTCTAGGCATCGATGCGGCCCTTGAAACAGAAGAAGAAGAGAAAGAGAGAACAAGAGATAGCAAAATGTAAGTTTGGAATACGTTAGATGAAATACTTGCTTAGAAAACGAATTTCGTTTTCTCAAAATTTTCAACAATTTTGTCGGACTMTAGAACTATTTTTCAGCGATGCAAAGATGAAAGACGATCACTAGTGACGACAGCATCGAAATTGTTACACCGGAAGGACTGCCCACCTGGTACTTATCTACTTGATACAAAAAGTCTTAAAAATCTGGAATCTGCTATAGTGCACTTGTTGAGATCTCACGGAGTCACAATTGAACCCAAAAAAATGCTTTCTAGGTGTGTCGTGTGCAATGGTTCTATAAAGCCTGTATTCGATGTAGACCGACGACAGGAAATTTTTCAAACCTACAAAGCYCCTGAAGAGGTCAACATTGAAGGAATGGAGGTCTACCAATGCAATAGTTGTTCTCAAGGCTACTGGTGGTCTGAGAAACCGACGAGTTCTGCATCTAGAGTGAAGTCTAGGGCAACTCATCTGTTGGAGCTATGCATACGTGGAGGAGTTCCAATTTCCGGAGACTTGGGATACTTTAACCATATTGATGTCAAGAAAATAGTCAGTACAAGGACAGAAAGCAGCAAAGATATTTGTGTTGATGAACATCAATTGGACGTGGTTAAATGGCTTCAACAAAAAGAGCTGAAGAATCCTTTACCAGAAATGTCCAGTGTTTATGCTTCAAAAAGAACCCGAAACGAATCTCTAACCTTCACCAATGTAACTCATGATTTTGTCGGTCATTTAGATTATATCCTTTGCCAAACGAAAGCAATGGAGGTCAGCGAGCTGTTGTATGTACCGAAAACATTTGAAGAACTAAACGACTTGAATATTGCTAACGGCCATCTGCTTCCAAGTTACGATTGGCCCTCTGATCACCTGGCAATAGGCTGCCGCCTTTCTTTGAGTCCCAAACAAAGTTTCGCTGATAACGGGCAGGATGAGACTTTCAAAAAGAAAGATCTGGGCCACAAGTCTGCGATAAGCTCGTTTGTATCAGGACCACCATCACCTCAAAAAACAGTGAATCATTCTCTCGATGATGATCAATACAACCGTGGTCACGACCACTACGGTGAATATGGGTGCGATCACCACATTGATAATGATCATGGCCATCACCAGCATACTGGCCATACCACTGAGGATGACGGCAACCAAGATAGTGACCACGATCATCGTCATGATCATGAAATTCATCACTATTCTGAACGAGACGTTGATCATGACCATAAGAGCCATATTAAGGATGGCACTGACCATGGCGCCGACCAAGATATTGGCCATCACCATAACCACTACCATAACCAGCTCGATGTCCATCAACATAGCCATCGTATTAACCAAGATGTTGACTACGACACGGATGGTTGCCGTGACCATCATCATGACCATCACCACGACCATCATCACCACGACCATCACCACGGCCATCACCACGACCATCACCACGACCATCACCATTATCACGACTCCTCTGCAACTGAGAGACCAATACAGCTACAAAATGGAGAGAGATGTGTGTTTTTCGAAGGTCCAAAATCAGGACCGATACCATTTCCACCCGGGCCACCGTCAACTGTTGCCTGGTGTAGTTTCATTGATGAGTCAAAGGTTGATGAGTCGAAGAGTGATCTACCATCCCAACCAGGGCCTACCACAAAGTTGGAGATCATATGTCCGTTGACTGGACAGAGATGCACTTGCTATGGAATGGGTTGTCTTCCAAAGGTGCCATCTCTGTTTGAAATGGCTGAACTGAGACGTCAATATCGACTAAAACAACAAAATTCCAACGCCTCTCGGTGATCAAAAACAGGGGTTGCAGCMGTGTTTTAATCTAGCTGAATTGGCTGTGCCTGAAAATATAATGGTTCGAACACTACACAAAAGTGAAATTTGTCGTCGTCACTCCTCCCTAATGCTCATATTCACTCTCCAGTACTGAACTGTGTTTGACGTGACTTGCATAGGCATTCTCCACTACATACTTCTGTAGCTAGATTCTTTCCATGTCACTTGAAGAGCATACTTCATGAAAACTTTTACTAATTTTGATGCCTGTTTGAAATTTGATTAGCCTTGCTTGAATTTCTCATTCAAGTGTTCAAGTTTGTTCCATATAAGTAGTAAAACTATGAATGATGCTTCTCTATTCCTGCTTGATTGCACTTTGTTTTTGCTATGTCCTGTCCTCACTCCTTCAGACAGTTTGCATTCACACTCCTCCCTACTAGTGATGRTAAATAAATGAGTGTCACTCCATCTTTGGCTTGAATTTGATATTTGTCCTTCTCCAGTCCATAGTTCCTCAGCTACTAGATGCTGTGTATGTCACCTTAATTCCATGGCAAACAAAATCTACTAATTGCTCGACTAATATGATTTTGAGTGATTTTCCCAGCCTACTGGTGGGCCTCAATTCATTTGCTCTGGTAGAAAAGGCAATTGCAGAAGTGTTTCTACCTACTCTATTTGGCAATATWGTGGAGGCTACATCATCAGAACTTCAAACTACTRCTAAAAAATCTTTAAATTATATTTAACCTCATGAACTAGAAGAGGCACTACATGGCCAGAACCAGAGCCTCTCTGGATTAGGRAGAAGAATGCTCCTAGCTGCACCAAGGGGCGGCACCTCCCTCTGAGGAGGTGAATACTGGGGGCTGGGGTTGTTGTTGTTGCTTTCYRGCACAAGTGTYGGAGGGACAACAACAACTTCAATAGTACCAGAAGATACTTTGATTCCAGAGGAACAGGGGATGGATCCAGCTGGAGCAAACTGCTACCAGCTGGGGAATATCGATATACTTGGAAAATTCTTGGTTAGATTGCTTGAATGGAGGAGGCCAGGGAGGAGGATTCTCCCCTTTGGAAGGGAATGTCACCATGGTGGTTTGGATGCCAGAAGGCCTTGTTCAGGTATGTATGTACATAGTAGGAATCAGTAGGAAATCTAGGTGATAATTTCCAGAACTGAAGTGTAATTTCCTGTGTTTGAAAAAATTCGTTYTGAAAATTATACTTCAAACTCCTACTATGTCGGTGTAAACTGCAAAGTTTTTGGGACTTGGCATGCTAGATCCTACTGGGACTCCTCCTTATCAGCACCACACACTAGTGGGTGCCACAGCTGAACTAAAATGAATGTAGAAGAAGAAGTGACTAACATGCAGCATGATGGCAAACCACAGCCTTCTTTTGCAATTTTGTAAGTGGATGACTACTCGGTTATTGCCCATAACATCTTATAAAAGTTAAAGAAGTACTACTAGAAGTGACTCTAGTTTCAAAATAACAAGGATGGATTAGTAATAAACAATTGCATTTTACATGACGACATCTTCAGCAGCACTAGTAGGTGTGGGGGGCAGGTACTAGTACTACTAAGTACGTAGTATTCATAATCTCTTGGATAGTGATGTTGGACAAACAAAAACAGTAAGGAACTACTAGTAGTAGTAGTAGTAGTATACCCCTCTCGAAGAAAGAAGCAAATGCTGCTGCTGATTTGAAGAACTACTACTAGTACTAGTAGTACATGATGATTGTGATGTAATCTCAGCAGGGCACTCCTCCTTGTTCTCAGCCACAGAGTAAGAACTACTACTAGTAGTACTACTAGAGTACTAAGAATCAAAGAATCAAAGTATATGGTCTTCATACTATTAGTAGTAAGCAGCAATACCAAGCAATTGGATTTATGCTGTGCTGCTTTCAAGAGTTAGTAGTAGAACTTTTAGTGGTCTGTTTGCTTGAAAGAGCACCTCTTCTCTTCACAAAAAATAAGATGGTCAAAAATACTACGGTACCCAACAAAAACAA